TCGTCTGAAAAAATGATTTACATAAATCAAACAAAAAAATACATAAATTTGAAGAACCCATACCACATTCTGGAGAATTTCTTCGAAATCGTATGCGCCATCAGCCTCCTTCAAATTCCAAGTCATGATTAAGTGAGAAAGATCTTTATATTATCGTAATTTTTTGGTCAAAAATGTTAACCCTAGATTGAGAGAGAAATTGAAAAATTGTAAAGGTGCAAAATTGGAATGAAATAGGAAAATCAATAGTTGCTTAGTGCTTTGGAAGAATATGCACATAAAAAGACGAAAAAGCCCATGTCCTTACGCGTGTGCCAAAATCTGTGAAGATTCCTTGAAAATTCAATGTAGGTGGTTAAGTGAATTAAAAATGGGGCAATATGCCAAACACCCTTCATTGGGATTTTAATTCTTGATAAATTATTTTTCTATAAATGATATTTGAGATAAATCCAATGGGGCTGAAAAACCATATATGCCCCCACTAACTATTAATTAGTATAATTATTTAATTTAAAAAAAGATTATACCCATAATCTACACCTAAATCTTCTCCAAAAATTATTCCCCTCATCACGCCAATTCAGTTTTTTTCCTTTTCTTTTTTATTTTGTTTAATGGTTTTCTTTATTTCGATTTAAAAAAAAAATGTAATTATTTTTTTTATTTTCGGTTTTTTATTTTCATTTATTTTTTTTAGGGCAAATTACCAAAACCCCCCTGAGGTAAGCCTAAATAACGAAAATCCCCCCATGTTCTCGTAATTACGAAAACCCCCCTGAGGTATGCAGACGTCTTACACATCGCTCTAACGGTGTTAGACTCGATAGAATCTTTTTGATTCTCCCGAATATTCCTCCGATAATACCAATTTTGCCCTTGTACACGAAATTAACCTTAGGGGGGTAATTGTAAGCATTTTATTTAAGGGTTAACTGCACATATTCATCTTCTTCGTCTTCTTCGTCCACCACCACGTATCAGACACACCACCAAACACAAACCAGGCAATCATAACCTCTCACAAATCAAACACCAACCACCACAACCTCTGATCCGCCGCACCACCCCCACCACCACCGAACCAATTTCAATCCATCCCCCCATATCTGCTAGTTCGATTTCGAAAAATCTGCTATTTAATCCGCCCCTTCACCATCACAAGGCAAAGAAATTGGGTTTTTTTCGCCGGTGCTCCGGTCTCAAAATTTGACTGCCGGCTGGTGGTTATTTCTTTGCCCCAATCAATCAACGGGTGACGGCGGCGGCGAATTGCAGTGGTGGAAGCAACCCATTTGGTGGAAATATGACACTGTAGCAAGGGATATACCTTCCGCCGTTGAAACCTTCGGCGGCGGTCCATCAATTTCAGCCCCAAACCAAATTTTTTTCTTTGAATCAGAGTTTGAATCCGCCCGAGGAATTTGAGTTTTTGGAATCAAAGCTTAATCAACAATACAGTCCTCAATTTGTTGTTTTTTTTCGGGAGAGAGAAAGATTGATTAATTTGGTGTTTCGGTGTGATGTGCTTTCGGGTTATAGTCCTTAATTTTCGATGGACGATGAAGTAGAGGCGGCAGGCGGCGGAGGGCGACGAAGCAGAGTTGGGCAAGCGGAGGGCGGCGAAACAGAGGCGGCGGAGGGAGGTAAAGCAGAGGCGGCAGGCGGCGGTTTGAGGGCTGAAATGGATGAAGAGTAATTTGGTTGGGCCGGTGGTGACGGGATAAGTTTGGTTGGGGAAGATGCCCTTTTTCAAATAAAAAAATAAAAAAATTATAATATCAAATTATCAATACAAATTACAAAGTAATAAATAAATTTTATAAAAGCAATAAATCATCAAGTGAAAGGGATGTCAGGGGGGTTTTTCGTTATTTAGGCTTACCTCAGGGGGGTTTTGGTAATTTGCCCTTTATTTTTTACATATTTAACAGAAGGATTTATTGGACATTTCCCGTTTTAGGTTAAAAAAATTCGGTCAACCGTTAGTCAAGGGGGGTTTTCGTAATTACGAGAACATGGGGGGGATTTTCGTTATTTAGGCTTACCTCAGGGGGGTTTTGGTAATTTGCCCTTTTTTTTATTTATACTTTTCATGTTTTTTTATTTTAATTTAAAAAAATGGTTTTATTTTTATTTTCGTTTTTTCATGGTTTTTCTTTTTTCTTAATTTCAATTTTTTTAAATGGTTTTTTTTTTCTTTCCAGATTTTTTAAATAAAAACCACTCTATATAAACATGAAAACACTCTGTATAAACAGTTATATAAACATGAAAACCACTATGTATAACAACTATATAACATGAAAACCACTCTGTAAAACGACTATGTAAACTTGAAAACCACTATGTGTAACAACTATATCAACATAAAAACCACTCTGTATATACAGTTATATAACCACTATAAAATTGTTGAAAACCACTATAAATTTATCAAAGACAAAGCCTGACATTATGAAAACCACTCCGTATAAACATCTATATAAACATGAAAACCAATATGTATAAAACATCTATATAAACATGAAAACCACTTTATATACACAACTATATAAACATCGAAAATCACTATGAATTCTAACAAGAAAACATCAAAAAATCTGCGAAAAAGAAAATATAAAACCACTATAAAGGACACCATCTTCTCTCCAATGAACCCTAGATCATAGTCCGTGTAATCTTCTTTTTCTCTTTTTCTCGTTATTTGAAACGTAAACCACTATTTGGAAAAAAATCATCATCTTCTTCCTCCCATCAGCAATTTCGTCAAGAAAATCATTATTAAAATTGAAATAGATTTATGATTATCAGCGTCAACATCACTGGCGTATGTGAACGTGTAAAGAGAAGAACTCATTTTTAGGATTATATATTGTAAAGACCAGAAACACTAGAATTGGAAATAGATGAAAGCAACAAACCTGTTATCTTTACTCATGCCGGTCTTGCTATCAACCACGTCGATTTTATCAAAGGGTGTCTGGCAAGATTTATCAGATACTCACATTCTTCCTTAGACTGTTAATAAAATAGTTACAGAAAAAAATTATGTCAAATCAGCCCGAAATTAACGACGGCGACGAATCATATCAAAACAACTCTCCGGATTTCGAACTCGAAGATTCTCTGAAGAAATTGTTCAATTGCGACCAAAACGACGCCGTCAGAAGCAGCATTCATGCTGAGGTGGAGGAGGCGTTGACAGAAGTCGTCGGTGGCGACAATTACTCGTCGCCGGATTTTAAACGGCGGCTATGAAATATTAAAAAAAATAATAATAAAAAATCTTTATTTTATTTCTCAGAATTCTTGTCCGCCAACTTATAATTAACTAGACTTAAACATCAGTTGACAACAATTGATAAGCAACAAAGATTTTACACGTAATGTCGATATTTCACTTAATTACTCTTAACAATTAATTTCTCATCAAATATTTCTCTGTTGCTTAAAGCATATCCAATTTTTTGATTAAAAATTAAAATATATATTAAACCTAAATTCTAACCTTTTCTTCCGAATTTTATTACAGGCATCTGCAAATCGAAGTGGGAGAAAAGCGGCCGGATTCCGTCGGGGAACTACGAAGATGAACTGGTCCTAGAAGATGAACGAGCGGGGACGATTGATGTGGTGGATGACGAGGAGGCAGGCAGATGCGGTGATGATGGGGAGGCGGTGGAACGGGATTTCTCACCCTCGGTGAAGAGGGCCGAGATTTGAAGAAGAGATCGCAATTAACGTGGAGGAAGAGGCGGCTACGGAGAGAAGAGAGAGAGAGAGAGAGAGAAAAAATCTGAGGAAAAAAAGAAAATAATAATAACGCGAGTTATAGGATTAGGTGAAGGGTATAATAATGAATTAAATTATTTATGATTAATTAAATAATATTTTGGATTTATCTTAAAAAAGGAAAAAAAATTGGACTTCTCTTAATTGGACATTGCATATGAGGGGTGTTTGTGAAATAATCCCATTAAAAAAAGGGGTTTGCATGGACCCATGAAAATTTCTTTTCTTAATGTTGCAAAGTGCAAAAACGGGCAAAATGTACGTGGCAAAATTCTATTAACCCTTTATATTATAGCTTAACCTTAAAATCAGTTTTTTTTCCACCTTGATTTGAAAATTTCTAATTTTGGTACAACTTATTTCCTTCCAATTTCTTGAATTTCTATTTAATTTTTCCAAACCTTATCTATGTTTGGTAAGCTTTTGGGCTTGTGTTTTCATTTTATTCTGGAGAAAGATGTTTTGGGAGAAGAATTTGAAAATAAAATAGAGTTTGTTTGTGTTTTGAGAGGAGAAAATTCTGTAGCAAGTCAAATTATGTCTAAAATGTGTCGGAAAAATGTATTTTTGAAGAAGAATTTAAAAGATAAAGTGATTTTAATTTGTATTTTAGTGAAAACAATTCACTATAGCAGTCAAATCATGTTTGTTAGAAAGAGAAATATTTGACTTTTTTTTTGAGAAAGTTTTTAAAAATATTTTGAATGATTTATTTTGGGGAAGAGCGGAAAGAATTCCAAATTGATAACAAACATATTAGTTCACATAATTGAAGTTAATTTTTTAGTTTCATAGAAAAAATACTTTTTATTGTTTTTTATTTTATTTACTTCCGTTTAATGCCTCGATCACTTTTAGACACACAAACTAATCCATAAGGGCAAATTTGACAAAAGCTAATTAAAAGATACAAAAATAAACTTGCCTCAAATGAAAAAGTATAGATAGAAGAGACTTCAATCTAAATCAAAAGTAACTTCAGTCCTTAGCTCCAATTATGCAATCTACTTAGAGCTAATTAGAGAGATACATTAAACTTTAATTTATGATCAAATCATTTCCTGACTGTGAAACATTCTGCAATGTTCATCATTCCTTGATGCAGTCACTAAAACTTTTCTGAATAATCTGTTTTCTTGAATGTTGAAATGCACACGTACTTCACAAAATGTTTCGCCTCGGCAGTTCCCATTTCCGCATTCATGCATGCCCCCGTTCGATCCTCCCATCTCGAGCATACCGATTCTTTCATCCAACCACTCGAGAATCTGAGAAAATTGGAGAAACCACGATAGAACAATGCATTCAAAACCAGAATAGGAAAGCCAACCGAGTCGCATAAAAGTTATCTGTGTTGTAAAAATACATTAAAAAAAAAACATATTCGTCATTGAACATCAACTTAAAAGAACCCCAATTCAATTTATTAACTACCCGTAAATAATTTCATCATATAAAAACATAAAAAAGTTCAATATTTTCAGTCGAACCCATCCTTTTTTTCCCATTCAGTCTAGTTTTTGTCCGATTCGATCGGTTTTTTAGTCAGATCCTCAATCAAACAAACATCGAATGACATACAATTGCAGTTTTAAACCGACAAATTTAATAACCAATCACAAATAAGAACCCTCGAATACCTTCACGAAGCATTAACGAGCTTTGGCCGACGAGTCACATGATCGATTTCCACTCGAAGCCCAACTCCAGCAATTTCAGGAGTATCAACAGATCCCTGTACCTCCAAATCAACAACTAATTCTCGATTTTTAACATTCCCTTCCAAAATATTTCTCATCGACCAAATTCCCCACTCCCTCAAAAACGGATTATCTTCATCTGTCACACACTGTTGCAGCATTAAAAGAATCCCATCTTGCTCTCGTATCTCATCCTGCACACTAATCCTCCCATAGCTGCAGTTTCCGATAACGCCCACGATATCTCTTCGAAAGCCTTTGTAAGGACAACAGTACTTGGAAAATCGAGGAGTCGTATCGTTTTCAGTATCGGCGTGGCCCGTTGATCTCCTAATCAATGTTGGAGGCTCTAAATTTCGAAACAAGTCTATAAGAAATTTAATAAGCCCGGCCCGCGATAATGTATCCACGTTTGGACCGTCACACGCGGTAATATCTCTTATGAGGGAGAGAGCGTAGCCCATAGCATCAGTAACGGATGAACCGGTTGGAAGAGACAATTTTGCCCTTGTGCTGAAATCAACAATCTCAACAGCATTTCTCAATATCTGATAAATTGACAAGGAAAAATTGGTCGAGACTACAATTTCTCCGAGCCGCTCGTTTAATATTTCTGAAAGAATGCTCAGCAAGAACGCTTCTTCGTCTCCAAAATGAGAAATTTGCGGTACGTTTTCATCGCAGTTCTCGGATAATTTAGAGAAAATTGACGAAAAATAGGATTCGTCAAAGCAGATCTTTGAGATGAGCAATTTCACCCAATCCTCACTAAAACCGACTGCAAATATCAAATTTCAAAATTAACGGGGTGCATTAAAAATCAAATCTTTACAAGAAATGGGTTTTTTTTATTAGCTCAATCTTGAATTTTACGAGGAGATTAATTACCTGCTGTAACTGTTCGTACGATTTGTACAATGATATCCAGCCCTTGATCGGAAAGCAGTTCAACCCATCTTTCATTACTACCTTCGGAACAAGTGTAGATAACCATGCACAAAGGATCACATGTTTCCTTGCTTTGAACTCGAGCAATATCGATAAATCCAAGGGGGAAGAACTGGGCCCACACAGCTTCTTGATGTTTTTCACCAGCTAACGAAACATTTCCCAACGTTTGCAATACCATACGAAGTATCTCACTATCGGAACCAGAATTTGAACACATAGAACCAACGAGGGTTGAAAGAATACCAACGCCGTTTTGTTCGATAAATAGGTCCTGGTTTTTAATTTCACCCGCACACAAGTTTCTAAGTAGCTTTACGGCTAAAAGAAGTTCTTGGTGTGGGACTCGTAAAGGATATCGGCAAAGTTCGAGGGCTGGTTTGATAATATCTTTGGAAGAAAGGGATAAACGTCCATCGGAAGTTTTGGCAGTTTCGATTAGCCGCTCTAGTGCTTCGTGTAAAGTCGAAGAGCCGGAAGAAATAAAGAGTGGCTGAAGTACATTATCCTGTATGGATAAGTTAACCGATTTTACAGAATCCATACTAATTTTGGATATAAGAATGGACGTTGTTGATGCTATAGTTATTGTGGAGCCGTAAAACTAAGTACCTGAGACGTTTAATCATGAAAACACGAACATGTAAATGGTCGGCAACAAATAGTACAATACTTCTACAGTATCAGCCAGCCAATAAAACGATATTATCTTGTGCACATAAAAATCAAAAAAATAAAATAAAAAATAAAATACATCTTCATCACATAACAGAGAGATTTCTTACATAAAAATCAGCAACACTTTCCCATTGTCCATATTTTTTTCAGAAAAAATATCAAAACACAATGAAGCACTTTAAACAACACTCTTTGCACACCATCAGAAGGTGAAAATCATCACTAATATTATCAAAACATTAATTTAAAATATTAACAAAACATTAATTTACAATGAATCCGGATTTATAAAGATGACCGTATTATCTTTACAAATTTGCAGTTTGCAGAAGCTACAAAATTTATCTGAAAATTGAAGCCCAATTTTACTTAACGGCCAAAATTATACATTGAAACACATTGAAGCTACAAAATTTATCTGAAAATTGAAGCGCAATTATACTTAACGGCCACATACCCACACAAATAGATTGAAAAAAAAAAAAAAAAAAAAAAAAATTCAAAGATCAAAGTCAATATCTTTCTTAGGGGCTGTAATGAAACCGAAATTAAATTAAAAAAAAAACGCGTAGCATGCCATCAAGAATCGAGTAACAGAGTAATAAAAATTGGATATATTGAAATGTCTCGTCCGTTAATCGGAAAAATATCCACAGCAACCCAATTACCTGGAAGAATGGCCGGCGGAGGGTGGCGAAGATCGGAAGCAGCGGTGAAGGGTTTTGGCGTATCGGAATAGAAGAGGATTTACAAGAATTTCACCTCTATGTAAACTGAAATTACTGAAAAACCCCCCCTTAATAAATAAACTAACAAAAAGCCTCCTGTGACTTTTTTTGTAAATAACAAACTCGAGCCTTTGATGTTTTAGTCGTGGAACGGATGTGAGAAGACGAATATGCCCTTCAATAAAATAATATAAAATTAGAATAGTATAAAATATGGGCCAAATTCAATCTAAAAAACGAACTGAGGCCCAATTGCAATTTATGTTAAATTTTTGAAACTTAAATTAGGGACTTGATTGTAACTTCCCAAAAAATATCATGTCGCCGCCAAATCGGCTGCCAGCAACACCAACTCCACCACCTCCGTCAACAGTTGCACCAAAGCTTCGGCCAATATCCAGCCAACCACTACGGACCCCAATCCCACAACCGCGCACCTGTGGAGGAATACTCCTCTGCGTTTGAAATAGGGATTTTCCTTCCCAATCTCGTGGGCGGTGACAGCGACGGCGTAACTGCCGACACCTCCGGCGGAAATAAATCGAACAAGAGAAGCGGCGGCGAGAATTCGAATGTGTAGCTTTTTTTCCGTCTGAAATTTAGATTTTTGAGGTGAAGAGGATGAAGAGAGGGAGGGAGAGTGAAGTGATAGTATGGGATCATTTCACGGGGCAATTACGACATTTCATGTCAAAAATCGAATAGCAGTCGCACAAACCGCGACTGAGCTGCACGATCTCGTGTCTAGGGGTATTGTGACTTTGACTAAATTTGACAAGGGGTTCTTTTTTGCTAGTTTAATTTTCATGGGGAGATTTTCACTATTTCGAGATAACATATGAGTATTTTTTGCAATTTTTTTTTTGACAGCAATGAAACTTATATTTATTAGGCAGTACATGCTAATTGGAGGGGGAGATCAATTCCCTCTAACGAGTCACTACAAATAAGATGAGCGAGCGCGTGGGCTAAGCTATTACCCGACCGCTTAACAAAGCTAAAATCACACTGTAAAAAATTCCTAGAGATACTACAACATTCATCGACTATAGCACCGAACGATAATGCCTCTCCACTTCTATTCCTCAGTGCATTAATACCTTGAAGACAATCTCCCTCGATACTAATCCTTTGCCAACTTCGATCCTGAGCTAAGTTGATTGCATACAACGCCCCTAAAGCTTCTCCTTCCACCGGCAAAAGATTGCCCTGAATATGACAAACCTTCCATCCCAAGCTGCGACCCCTCCGCATTTCTAGCAACCGCTGCCACTATAATTCCGGCAGGAGCAGATTTTATTGCAACATCGAAGTTCAGTTTAACGAAGGCCCTTTTCTGGTGGTTTCCATTCACTAGGGTGGGCACTACGTAAGCTTGGATTCGGACGAAATTGAGCACATTTGAAGTTCGCCACATAATTTCCGCACCAGCCCACCAGGGCCTCAACCGCCATTATTTCCTCCCCTTTAAGTTCCTTATTGCGTCTGTCCCAAGCTTGCCAAGCGACCACCATAGCCAAAACGAAAAACTCCTCGCACAATTGTTCCCTTAAGTTCATAATCCACTGCCATGCACATGTGAATACCGGGCCAGAGACTTTGTCAAATGGAGGGGATCTCCAAATGGTTTCCATGCCTTGACATGTAGTCAATATGTGTAGTGCATCCTCCTCCTCCTTGTCGCATCGCGCACACCTAGGTGATAATCCGATCTTCCTTCTGTAGAGTTCAATGTTAGTGGGGATAGAGTTTTTTTTCAGTCGCCATATAAACATTCGTATCTTAGGCGGCAAAGGAAAATTCCATATCACCTTCCAATCACGGTTCGCCACGTCACTAGTCGAGTCACCATTGGCCATGCGATTGTGTCGAGTCACCATTCCATTGGTCAGCACCATGTGATAGCATGTTCGTACTGAGAATTTCCCGTTATTTGAATGATGCCAAATCCAGATATCGCTTGTGGACAGGCCCACCCATCGGAATCGCAAGAATGCGCTCCACATCAACTGTCCAAAAAGTGCGTGATATCAAGTCCAAATTCCACGAACCAAACTCAGACACCATTAAATCCGAGACTGTATTTGGGAAAGCCGACGAGACCGGACGTTTAGTAAGAATTTTGAAATTGCCCCCATCATGTAGCCAAGGATCGGCCCATATCGAGGTATTAGCCCCATTGCCAATACGTCGTCGGATTCCCATTTTCAGATACGGGATAACCCTCCAAATGGATCTCCAGATTGTGGATGGCCGTGAACCAACTCCGGCGAATAGAAAATTTCCATTGGGAAAGTATTTGGCAGTCATAATTCTTGACAAGAGCAGGTCTGGATTAGCTAGAATTCGCCAGGCCTGTTTCGTGAGAAGTGCGATATTAAAATACCGCAAATCACGAAATCCTAGCCCTCCACTTTCCTTAGATTTACACAGATCTTTCCACGACACTCATGCCATCCCTCTATTCGACCCGTTGCCCCACCAAAATCTTCTAATTGCTGCCTCAATCTCCGACACTAATCCCACGGGAAGGAAAAAACAGCTCATGACGTAGGTCGGAATCGCTTGTAAAACGGACTTGATCATCACTTCTTTCCCCGCTTTAGAGAGTTGTCTTTCCCCCCAACCTTTAATTTTAGTCCACACCTTGTCCCGAAGATAGAAAAAAATATATTTTTTTGTTTTTCCAATGGAAGCCGGCATCCCAAGATATCTATCGTGGCTCTCAACAATCCGGAAGCCAAGTATTTGATGAATAACGTTTCTCATAATCTGCGGGGTGGAGGGACTAAACATCATCGTAGACTTCTCAAAACTAATTTCCTGTCCTGACACCCGCGCATACTTTTCTAAAATATTCTTCAAAGTTGATGCATAATTTCCCGTCGCCTCGCCAAATACGAGAGTATCATCTGCAAAGCAGAGGCAAGACACCGTAGGGGCTTGTGGAGCCACCAGAACTCCTTGGAATGCTCCTTTCTCCGTGGCTTTAGTGATCATGAAAATGAGAGCTTCTGCACAACAAATGAATAAATAGGGAGAGAGGGGGTCCCCTTGATGAAGACCTTTTTGTTAGAGAATATTATATTATAGAACTCTTGTAATATTATGATTCTAGTATGATTGAGTTACCTAGATTAGTTAGGATTTAATTACCTAGTCAAACTCTATTACCTCGTATTATTTCTCTATATATATTCCATGTAATCAACCCATAACATAATGGGGGTTTCTATTATATTTCGTATTATTATTTCTCTATTTCTCCTATTATATTCTTCTTATACTTTTGACGGTTTAACGGCACCGAACTGCGTACCATTAAAAAGAAACGAGAATGAGACAGTAGACACACACAACATAATAATATCCACAAATTTAGACGGAATTCCAAAACGAAGAAGAATTTTTTTTAGAAAAGTCCATTCAATTCGATCGTATGCTTTACTAATATCCAACTTAAGGGCCATGTAATTAGTTTTGACTTTAGAGCTAAGCTTAATAAAATGATTGATCTCGTAAGCAACAAGAACATTGTCAGAGATGAGTCTCTTAGGCACAAACGCAGATTGGGTAGGGGAAATTAAATCGTTAAGAACAAGTTTGAGGCGATTAGCAACCACTCTAGACCCAAATTTGTAGATAACATTGCAAAGACTAATAGGTCTATACTCAGTAATTCTTTCTGGATTTTTAACCTTAGGAATTAAGACGATATAGGTGTAATTCAACGCAGTAGGGAGTTTATGATTTTTAAGAAAATCAAGGATACAAGATAAGACATAGGTGCCCAGAATGTGCCAGTATTTGGTGTAAAAGATAACGGGTAGTCCATCAGGCCCAGGGGATTTAAGAGGAGCCATTTGAGAAATGGCTCGGGTTACCTCATCCGTGGTAAAGTCATAGATAGGAGTTGATTGGCCGCTTCCGAAACCCTAGCCTCCACCTCCTCAAGCACCACATCTATCTCATCCTCATTTGGGTTGGTCGTTGTAAAGATCTGGTCAAAATAGTCCGAAATGATCATCTCCACGTCCGTGCTCGACTCTTGCAATTTACTCATTTTAATTTTATATTATATATATAGGTACCTCCTTCAAGTATATATGTAAGTAAATAAATAAATAAATAATTTATACTACTTAAAGCAATTTATTTTCAAAAGATCAAGAGCAAAGGATGCATGTGCGAAATGTGCATACATTCAAAAACATATTATCAAAAAAAAGATTATGTCCTAAACCTTTTGGAAATGGCCGTACAATCTATTCTACTTTTTCTTTGTTATTACTCGAATAGATGAATTGTCTCACATTAAAGACACATGAACTTATGTTAAGCCAAACTGAACTTTTGAATTGACAAGAATGCCCCTGAGAACTCTCTTGTAAATTATTCTCTTGAAATGCAAATACATGCATGCATGCATTGTGTGTTTTAGTCCTTCTGTTGTACTCACAAACACCTTTTCACACCCAAACAAATCCTCCAAATTTCTGCAAACATTAATACCATCATTTGTTTTTCAATAAAAATAAAATATTATATACCATTTAAATAAACTCTTTGCTTTCAATTCCTCATTCTGTTCAATTGTACTCGATACTTGTACAACAACCTATTTGCATATTTACCTGATATATAAATAGGAGGATCATCTGTAGATGCTAATACTCTGCAAAATTGACGATGATAACAACTTATAGAGCGCGCGCCTATTTTCGCGAATCTCCAAGATAATAATATT